CGTACCGATACTTAGTAAATGTATTTATTATAGTTCTTAATTTAGATACGATACGACAAGTAAATAAATTATAATTTAATTTTACTAAAAAATACTGTGTTAATATAAAAAAAAAATCAGTTTGGTTCAAGACTCTTGCCTGCTAACCCACTCCAAATTACCCAGCCCGTCTTTATAATGGTATATCCAAACATGGACGTCCATTTACATACGCGCACTGACTGAATATCGCCCGAATCATGTCTTCTACTCAACAAATTACACGAAAATGAAATTTGTTTATCTACCACTCAAGTGACAGGGACTTGTACAGTAAGATTAGATTCATTCGCTCAAGTGCCATGCCGGGATCGTTTTGAGCCTATGTCATCGGATAGAAGTACTGTCACTGTCTTACATATAACGCTGTTGGATCCACGCTGTTGATCGCGGCATGGAGGTCCTTGATCGCGGCGAACTATATTGACATCGTACGTATTATGATATTTAACCCCCGATACACAGTCAAGCAGGGCTATGGCAAGGAATGATTTTGAAAAAGAAATGTCGCTGATTATACTCCTCCTAGCAGCCACAAATGTATCGTCGAGTATCTGTGCCCGGGGCTTCTGTGCTCTACATACCAATATCCTAAGTCAGGAAGCCATCAGTGAAACTCCAATGTTTTGGTTTTGATTTCGGCGGGTCATTATTTCCCAAGATGCATCAAATCTCGCTAAACAGTGAAGAACGTCGAGATTAATTAATGATATAGACCACCGATTGTACCACTCAATGCTACTCGATACAACAATATATATATATATTCTCGTAAACACTGCAATCATCAAATACACAGAAATTAAAAAATATTCGTATAGTCCCAAGGTGTTTTTTTGATGTCTCGCGTGATTTAGAAAATCGCCGCTGCTTGAGGGCGCTCTTTAAAAATGGCGGACAATTTGAATGACTGACTAAAAATATCCAGCGATCGTGACAGTGAATCGCAGCTCAACTTTCATACCTGTTATCGTACATACATATTACGGATTACGCAACATAGTTGCCCTCACTAGATTTCAACTGTAAGCGACGGGGTAAGATACATGATTCGGAGCAATAAATGCAATCTTTTTTAGCAACCGTAAAACTTGTTCCTCGCTCATGAGAAATAAACATTAGGTATTACACTCATTCATAAAAGCATGGTTTTATGTGATTTTTTAAATAAATTTCAAGCGACATTTGAAAACAACTTGATCACAACATCTTAGCGGATGCATACTGCCTGTATAGATATTTTTTACATGTTTGACAGTGAACCAACCAATATAATAATAATAATAATAATTGTTTATTGCATCGGCTTTAAAAATACCATTACAGCTCCCTGGAAATACACATTTCTTTCAGTATATAGCAATAGAAATATCAATCAATACAAATTAAATATAACAAATTTGTAAGAAGGATTAAAAAGGGTAAATAAATTTAAAAATATAATAAGTTAAAATCACATGTGTGAAGACGTATTCTGCAACATTTTTTTGTCTGTTATTTTTATTAAAAATTGAAATTTTTCATTATTAATGTAGTGTAAATTTTTTTTTTTTTTTTTGGGGGGGGGGGGGGGTTATATACGAGAATTAATCTTGTGTCATGTATAATATTGATTTGGGGTGTGTGTATCTGCCTGTTTCTATACCAAGGTCATGAATACTTATTTTGAATTTGGTTAGACTGATTCTTTGTGTAATATTTATAACAGTGGATTATAAATATTGTTCATAACAACAATTTTGCTTAAATTTTGAGTACACTATGTACATAATTTGCTATTTGATCGTCAATGATCAGTGTATTTTTGTTTTATTTGACATTTCATAATATTAATCAAATTTTTAGATTTTGAGTCTAAGATTGTCTCCTCTGTATCATACAATGAATTGTGATTAGTTTTTGTCAACATGCCTTTTATTGTTGACATTGAAATATAACTATTACATGTATGTGGATTTTTTTGTTCATTGTATGCCCATTTTGTTATATTGTACTGTCTTCTGGAAGTTCCTGTAGTCTTAACCAATATTTAAACATGGAAGTATGTGCTTCAGTCAGTAATGGATAACCACCAATCTCACTTCTACAATGATTGTATGTTTGATGCATAATTTTTTTTATAAATAATAATTTCTATTAAAAATGTTGATGAAACGTCGTGACCACACTTGATTCTTATAAATATTTATAAATTTCACAATTCAAACTGCATTGAACATTTTTTTGGTTAATGGAATAACATTAGAACATTTTGAAATGATGTCAATACACACTGCATTTTTTGATTGGCAGGTTGAAACTGCCATTGAAATTTATAAATATTTCTAAAAATCAAGGAAATATGTTTGTCGTTGTGATAGCACTTACTTAACTTGCATTGTTTACATTTACAGCTAAGTAATGACACAAGTTTATAAAGCCACTCCTTTCTCATATTGCACACCATCACGACCAATGCGGAAAAGTTCCCGTTTTAAAAAGAATGAGCAGGTTATCGATGAAAATAAACCTCTCACAGGACAGTACTTGTCGGCTGTTGGAACGCCGTTACGGAGAACGCCACTCACACCAAAGTTTGAAGAGTTTAACAAGGAACTTCCAGCTGCATTGAGGAATATTAGAAAGCGCATTGAAAGTCAAAGTAATGATCTTGAAGAGAGTGATGCAGAAGAGAAAGTTAGTCCTAGTTTGGCCCGACTTCGTATGACACCTGGTGAGATCTTTTCAACTTGTACATCAGTTAAAAACACATGTATCACAGCTTTCGTTAAGGTTTTTCATGAAAAAATCAACCTAAAAACAAAATTTTAATTACGATTTCAAAATTATTGTCCAAAACCTGCACGTATAATGATTTTGAAAAACAATTGGCGTAAAAAAAGTACACTTCAGTACGTCATATCCTCTCTAGAAACTTCGCTAACTTTTACTATTGATAATATTTTACAGGTGTTGCTCGACAGAAACAAAAGATTCTGGAGCGTAAACATCATGCAGCAAAATCCAATATAGATAGTTTTAATGTTGGTGGAGGTGTTTGCTTATGGCCAGAAATGGACAACATGAGGTTAACAAGACATGACATGTATTTATTGACTGGTATATGTTTGGGGTTGGTGGTATCTATCTATGTTTCATTCATAACCATGCATGGTATGTACAGATAATTCTCTATATTTACTGTTACTGTGGACGCGTGAATGAAAGGAACACCTAATTACCAACGTTGTCAGCAAACTTGCTAACGAATCGCCTGTTCTGATTCAAACTGGCGTCTGGAGATCGGTTATCAGATTAGGCCATCCCATTTTCAATAGGAGGCCAAGATATTTTTAGAGAGGGACATGATTGGTATATGAATTTTCCATAATAATTTTTATCGTTGTTGTAATTGTACTTTATAATTTATTACATTTAAAAATAGCGCAAAACAAGAAAAAATATAAAAATTTAGCGTAACATAATGACTTGAGAGTGCACCCTCTCTCTGTTAGTACCATTGCCTCCTTTTGAGAATGAGGTGGCCCAAAGTGTTTCTTTTTTTTCACTCGTTCACAGTAACCTGTGTTCTCCCCTGAAATTTAAATGTTGTGATTTGCATATTATTTGCATAATTATTGCAAACAGAAAATATGATGAATAACCTACTGAATTACGCAATGCACTCAATTATTGACCTACAAAAACTGTTATTGCACACAAGTTTAAAGTTTTCAGCAACCAATTTGAAATAAAAAGTCAGCAATACCACAGTGGAAATAACAGTGTGGTAGTCATGACAATAACTGTGGCAGACTCAGACCACTGTGTTGCGAAAACAAAACACTGTGGCAGTACCACCAAGGTGTTCGAATCCTGGGGAGAACACTGCTGTTGATGCATCACTTGCTGAAAGCCAAGCTGATGGCGAAAATGAATGGGAAACAAATGATGTCAACATAAAATGTATTAACACTTTGATTTTTGAGTGCACTTTTGTCACTTTTCAGAAAAAAAAAATCAGTTGTTACAACATGTATAGGAAATTACTTGTATCTTATTTTTTCTACTAGTACGGTAGTGTATGCGCTTACATAAATTACACAGGTGTTATGTTCAAAATAAGTCGTATATTAGTGATTCAGAATACATCATTCAGTGCCCATTTGGTCCAAAATTAACAGAGGACTTATAAATGATTGCATAAAAATGTGCATGGAAAATAAATGTTAGTGGGAATAAGTTTGCCATTCACAGGGTTAATGGTTTTGTTTCAGTCCTTCATTTAGTTTTTATTTCTGCAAAATCAGATATTCATGATTATAAGTGGGCTGAAATGCATGGCTATAAAACCAAATACACATGGCTATTATTTAATACATTTCACAATTTGTTTTCTATTCAAAGTTATGGTCAATATGGACTTGAGAAGTAGTTATTACTAAATGCTAGCCATGTTTGCAATATGTTAATATAATAACCTGCATGCCAGAATAAACTGATTATGAAAGCCACTATCTTCCTATCAATTTCTCTTGGTACATTACAATATCTTTTGGTGGAACTTTTTAGTGGTGTTTGCTTTGCCTTTCCATTTTCAATTCCAATAGCCGACGCCCCTGAACACAACCATTTTTAACAGAAAGGTTTTAAGCTTTTTATATTGAGGATGAAAACTCAATTCATGGCTTTATAAATATGGCTGAATATCATGAGACATTGTTCATATTTAAATTACAACTGTGGATCTGTTAAACGATACATAAGTGAATCAGAAATTAGGTGATGCTCTGTGAATGGTTTATTTTGGAATCCTATGTACATACTAACACTTGAACAAAATGAAATTATTTGGTCACTAGCCTACAATCTAATTACACCCCCATTAAATATAGTGGGACTTTCAATATGCAAATTTTCAAAGGTTAAATGAATGATAGTCATAACAAAGAATTTTCCGACTTCCAAGGGATATTGGGATGTTCCCAAGATTTTTTTTTTTTTATGATTAGTTTATTTTGGTGCCTGCAGTAAGTTTTGCATTATTACATGTATATAGAGATGATTGTAGCCACACTTTTCCTCTTGGATCTCTGTGCTTATTAGAGTTTTCTAGTTCTCAACAATAAATGTCTTGGATGGATGAGCAGTTTGTCTTATTAGCCAGGCAAATGTATTCATACATGTACTAAATCTTGTCCAAGTTCAGGGTTCTCACTAGAGAATGTTGTTGATTGTATGAACCATAGAGGGTTACTATCTTGATGTCAATTTATGTTTGACACCCCAAAACAAATTAACTTATCATAATTCCATCTGTTGATTTTCTTCATGTTATTACTGAACATAATTTCTATTACAGGAGAACTTCAATCGAAGCTTCGGTACTTTTCAAGAAGACTCGCAATGTTGTGGAGTGATCATACAATAGAAAGACTAAACCAGAAAGCATTCAATGATTCCATTCTGAGATGGCATTCTGCTTTCAGCAACATCTTGGTAAATAGTTTTTAAAAAATGTTCCATTTTCACATTTACTGTTTATAAAAAGATTTTTTTTTACTTAACGATGCAATGATGTGATATAAAAAACATAAAGAAAGTCAAACAAAATATTGCACCACCAATGCCAGACGTATTAACGGACGTATAGCTGGAGTTGATGCAATTCTGTGCCACCTGAGTGCATACTTTTTGGTATTCTCGTGATAACCTTATTGTTATACATCTTTGTCCTGCTTTGTAGTTATAGTTGAATGATAGAATATAGCTCAAAATGTCAACGAAAAACATTTTGCACTGTGTGAACATTTGGGTTTAGTGAAGAGAATCTATTTCCACCACACTACAGTGCATCAAATGCAAACTAGATGTGTGACCTTTAGGGGTTATGCGTAACACCTAGTGATACAAGTAGCTTTAATAATTGCTTAATTATTTCTCACCAGGATGACATTCATCATGGTTTTGATACTCGGTGGTCAGACACTTCATTAAAATATTACATCAGTCTTCTGTTGTATATTAGTGGCATCAGTATTTTACTTTATTATTTGATGGATAATATGTTTGCGAAGAATAAGCTGACACCAAGACGTATTAAAATTTGGTAAGTCAAGTTTAAAAATACATCAAAACATTGTACAAACCTGCTGCATACTGATTATGTACATGTAGTCAAATGTTTAGTGATAGTTGTGAGTCAATCTGCATATTAATTTGCATATGGAAAACTATAATCAGCCTGTATGTTCCACCCTGAAGTAGCTTTTGATGTCAAATGATGTAGATAGGTGTAACAAATGTTCCAATTAACAACTTAGATTGGATTTGTAGTCATATAGAACTATTTTGTGAATTGTGACAAAAGTTGACTTTGGTGCTCAAAGGGTTAATGATATGCAAATTACCTAATTAATATGCACATATGGTATATAGAACTATTTTGTGAATAGTGACAAAAGTTGACTTTGGTGCTCAAAGGGTTAATGATATGCAAATTACCTAATATGCACATATGGTATATAGAACTATTTTGTGAATAATACAAAAGTTGACTTTGGTGCTCATAGGGTTAATGATATGCGAAATACCTAATATGCACATTCGGTATATAGAATTATTTTGTAAACGGTCACAAATGTTGACTTTGGTGCTCAAAGGGTTAATGATATGCAAAATACCTAATATGCACATACGGTATATAGAACTATTTTGTGAATAGTGACAAAAGTTGACTTTGGTGCTCAAAGGGTTAATGATATGCAAAATACCTAATATGCACATACGGTATATAGAACTATTTTGTGAATAGTGACAAAAGTTGACTTTGGTGCTCATAGGGTTAATGATATGCAAAATACCTAATATGCACATACGGTATATAGAACTATTTTGTGAATAGTGACAAAAGTTGACTTTGGTGCTCATAGGGTTAATGATATGCAAATTACCTAATTAATATACACATATGGTATATAGAACTATTTTGTGAATAGTGACAAAAGTAGACTTTGGTGCTCAAAGGTTAAAGATATGCAAATTACCTAATTAATATGCACATATGGTATATAGAACTATTTTGTGAATGGTCACAAAAGTTGACTTTGGTGCTCAAAGGGTTAATGATATGCAAATTACCTAATTAATATGCACATACCGTATATAGAACTATTTTTTAAATGGTGACAAAAGTAGACTTTGGTGCCCAAAGGGTTAATTATATACAAATTACCTTAATTAATATGCACATACAGTATATAGAACTATTTTGTGAATGGTGACAAAAGTGGACTTTAGAGCTTCAAAGAGTTAAAATTTTTTGAAGGGTGGAAAAAGTTGTCTCAGGTGCTCAGAGGGTTACAGTAATAAATAAATAATTGATTGATTGATGATAGACATTTTCAAAGGTAACTTTTTAAATGTGTGATTTTCTATTGATTCAGTGATACACTAAAGAATGAATTTGCCACATGCATCACTAAAAATCTCTGTATGTGACACATAATATTGGCTTAGGGGCTCACTGCTGGCAATTAACAGATTGTAATGTGTTGATAGCCTTCACATGAGCAAAGAGAACTTACTAAAGATGATGTTGATTGTAGGGTTTCAATATTGGTGTTGATGATATTTTGGAGCATACTGATGGTAAATCTGCTATCTGAAGCTCAGCAAGTGGAATATTTGATAGAAATCAATGTACACAGACTCAGTAATGAAATGGTAAGTTGACTATCATCATACTCATGAATCCAGTTGGTTTACTTGTTATATTGTGTCTTTCACTTTCCATTTTCTGACTTGGTACAGTAGTATTGTCTGTCAAACAAGAATACCAGGAATCTTCAATGGACGAGTGTTGACAGTGTAGCTATAGCTGAAATAACACGGAATACAAATATATTAGATGTTTGCAAATAGCTAACATCTACAATAAATATTTCAAAGGAATTGATTTGAGCGATTGAATGATGTTGTATTATCACCCCAGTATAGAGCTGTATTTTACTACCAGCTGAAACGGTCATGTTTAACTGGGTGACTGTCAAACAATGTACTAAGCAACAAACAAAAACCTCATTTAAAATTGCCCAGTTGAAAATTACAGCAGGTGATAACAATGTACAGTTCACCGTACTGCAGCAATACTAAATGTGTACAGATCAGAAAGGAAGTGCATAACCCATTCTAAACAGTGTTCATGGTTGAGATGACCTCGACAATTAATGATGGCAGTGATTCGTGGAAGCTTTTCAATAGCAATTTTTTAAACAGAATTGTTACAACTGTGGTACTGTAGTAGATTAAATGTTTTTCAGTCCCTGAATGTAGTCCGTAATGGGGACTTGTGGATTGACCTTTTTGCATGCGGTATGTGTGTCTGTCTGTCTGTCTGTCTGTCTGTCTGTCAGTCTGTCTGCATCTCAATCTTGGATATGCCTGGGTTGATCACATTCAAACTTCACACACACATCATTTGTCTTTGAATAAATATGCACATCTAGTCATTTCATGATCTGATTCATGATGGCTAAATGGCGGTCATTTTAATGGTAAAAACTCAAAAATCAAGCATTTCTGCTGGTCAAGAATCAGATTATGGCTGTGTTATTGATGAATTTCATTTAAACTTGGAAGATACATTGGACATTATTAGACCTCAATGCCATGATTTGGTTTTTCTTATCAGATTGAAAAGGGCTGACTGGCAGTCATTTTGCTTTAATGAATGTGGTTCCAGAACCGTATCTCCGACATGCCTTGACCAATCATGTTCAAACTTATATATACACCTTGCATGTATATTTTGACTGTCAAAATGGCTGAATGGTCGCCATTTCAATGTTGAAAAATCAAGCATTTCTGCCATTTCAGAACAAGATCTGAGCAATGTGTTGCTGGATTTCATTCAAACTTGGTACATAAATTGGACATTATGGGACCTCTATACCTGTCATTTGGTTTTTGAAATTAGATTCAAAACAACTGACTGGTGGACATTTTGTATTGTTGAATGTGGTTCTGCAACAGTATCTCTGACATGCCTTGGTTGACCATGTTGAATGCATATATTGTATACGGTACATCATGCATATTCTTTTTGACTATCAGATTCATTTGCAGCCATTTTATTGTTAAATACATTGTATTCATCAAAATCGAGCATTTCTTCCATTCCAGAACCAGATCTTGGTTGTGTATATATGGATTTTATTCAAACTTCATACATGCATTGGACATTATAGGATTGTTTTGTTAATCATTATGTTTTAATGAATGTCGTTCCAGGGCCATATCTGACTTTTGTTGACTGATCATGTTCAAACCTCCCAAGTGCAGCATATGCTGTGTCACACATATGCACATGAATTTGATTCATAGTTCTATGGTGGCCATTTTAATGTTAAAAATGCATCAATATCTGCCAATCCAGACCCAGATTATGGTAGTACATAGACAATTATTTTTCACTTTTATGTCTACATTAAACATATAAGAAAACCAAAATTTGTTTTTCAGATCTGAATCAAAATAGGCGAATGCAAATGCTACTGTAGAGCCATATCTCTGATGTAAATTGACTGAATGCAATCAAACTTTACAACTACATCATACAACATGTAATTTATTTCACATTCCAGTTCAAAATGGCTGACTCCTTTCAGTTTAGTTAGGCTATTAATTTTGGGTCTGTGCGTCGGTCCGGAGCCTTTTCTCAGACAACCTTTGATCGTTCTCGTTCAAACTTGGCATACAGACATGACGTACATATGCACGCCAATTTTCGTTATGATTTGATTAAATATGGCTGACTGGCAGCCATTTTGTTCCTCAAATTTGCTAAATTCTGATATTTAAATGTGTTCGGAACTGTTTCTCAGAGTTGAACAGGGTGATTTCAATCAAACTTTGTATGGTAATCATGCATATTTGGTTATAGGTGCATGTCACTTTTTTTCGAGATTCGAATTGCTTGTTGTGTGTGATCAATATAATTATAATTCCAATATTATCTTACCAATAGGGCGAGCTGGTGTATCTACATCTAGATCTTGGTCTATATAACAACATTCTACAATACTGGAGAATTCGTTGTTTGCCTCCCACAACACAAGGTACACTTAGTATTATGGGATTGCTACAAGTACGAGATGTTACATACTATTTACAATATTACAGTTTGCCAGTTCTTACAGCACTGTGTACACCTATTATTAGGCTCATTTTGGCCCTGAAGACAGTTTATAGTCAGGAACATCTATCAAAATCTAAATGACATTGGTGCAGTTATTTTCACATAACGGTAATAAAATCATCCTCATTGATTATAAGCTTTTACTATTAATATGAGATTCCTATAAGAATATCGCAGTATGCAAATATGCAGTACAAGTATGCATGAAGGCATAAGCAGTGCAGGTCAAAGCCATTCAGTACTACACAAGTCATTTTTTATTGTTTTCGGTGCTATATGTAGATAACTCTTGTGAAGAAAGTTGATCACTGTTGATCACTTGATGATAGAGCTTTACTGATACTTATCATGGATATTATAGCTCTGTCTTTCAATTCTAATAACACAGCTATACACTAAGCCTTATCAATGTACATATACACTGATTTGGCAATACTAGTTGATACAGGGCAGAAACATGTGCAGTAATACATAGTGCTTTTTGAGCTCAGAACTTTGTTATAAATGGGCAATAATCAAATGTAACCCATTATGTATATATCTACAACATGTCATTTTAGCTAAAGTGTGATTTTGTTAATTCAAGATGTAGATAATTTAAAACAAAGCATATTGTTACTATGCAACTGGTGGCCTTTTTGCTAAATTAAGATTTCGTGAATTCAGGCTTCGTGCAAAATTCGCTAAAATGATGTGCAGCTATTTCAAGCATTTTACAGTGGTTTCATTGTCATTTCTTTACTTTTCTGTGAAGCTGAACTATCATTTAATTATAATGAGCTGA